ATGAATTATTAATCTCAACTACTAATGAAAATACAATAAAGATCATAGGTATCAGCACATATCATGGCACTGTTGCAAAAGTGTTCTTCAAGTCATTGAAAGAAAATACTCAAGAAACATCCCTGCATTCTGTGTAGTCCCATAAACATGTCATAGTACAAAACTAAAGTGATATTATGAGTTAAATAAGCCTGTAGTATCTTCCTGTGCAATTCTATCACAACTGACCAGGTTGCTTGGCAAGTGTTGAGCATTATAGTCTTTTTGACCTCCTTTTCTAAAACCTTCTTTGTCATAAGAAGGTTTTCTACTTAATACTGAGCTTTCAGATACTCTGCAGCCACCTAAGAGGAAACATGTTGGTTTGTCTTGCCTGAACTGATGCTACTATTGAGTCACTCAAAAATAACTAGTTTGGCTTGTGAATGAGAAGACAGGGATATTGCTGCACTGTCTAGGTCAAAGCAGCTTGTCAGATAGCATTCTAACTCAGTGTCAGCTCAGTAGTTTTTTGACTGTTCATTTATTTTTATCTGCACTGGATTAAGACACAATCTGGAACAAAACTTCATTCTTCCACCTGTATTTCTCTCCCTTTATCTGTTGATTCTTTGTTATAGGATCCAACTTCTTCACAGTCATTAGTGCACTTGTTTCCCTAGTCTTTGTGATACATTGAATTATCTTCACTTTTTGAAAACTGAGGCACAAAGAAATCAAATAAAATGGGAAGTCTGTGAAAAAGACAAGGACTGAACACAGTTTCTCTCTTCCCACATCATTGACACAGCTGTCATGTCTGCTTATGCCTCCCCACCTGGAAAGATACTTAGATTTTATTCCCAAAGAGTCAAGTCTCTCTGTGAATTTGAATTCTGTGATTCAATTTCTTTTAGAATAATATCTCTTTTCCCCCTCGTCATCTGGCTTATTTCCAACATTTCACATTTGAAACAATTGGTTTCTTTTCTACAACAGTAGATTAGGAAGGAAAAAAAGCATACTGGAATCTTTTGTTAAGAACAGAGCACAGATTGCAGAGAGTTACATCATACCAATTTTTCTGACTGATGAATCATATTAAGTCTGATGTTTGCTGGGTTGTATTGCATTTATCTGATATGACATCCAGTAGCTGGGATGTTGCAATCTGATGTAACACATCACTGCTCACTGACATGCCAGCAGAATGAGAGAGACACCTGAGATAATGTAATTATATTTGGATCCCTTCTTTCAAAGAAGTTCTGATTTGAAGTTTTGATTTCTTTTCCATTATAAGCTTGCAGATGGTTCCAAGAGGCTGAACCGCTCAGTGATGATGTTGTCCTGCCTTGTTTTCTCTATGGACCTGAATTTAACTCACATAACATCCTTATGTCCTTAACCATATCATCCTAATAAGCTTTATTATGACAAAAGTTAGGAACTAGTCCTGTTAGGCACAAAAGAGAAAATGGAGCTCTACCCTGTCAGTGGGCACCCCAGAGAAAATGGTTACAAAAAAGCAACTGAAGAAAATCCAGGAGACGAACACACTGTGGTATACAATTGAAATGGAGATGTGCAGTGGGGTACCACCCATCACCTAGCTGATGTACTTTTTCATGTATTTCTCTTATATTTCATTGAAAGAGGCTTATGACATTTTCCCTTGTGAATGGGGCAAGTTACTTACATTGAGGTGTTTGAAGGATTAGGGTTAGCCTAGTAAATTTTCGAATTAAATCACATTTGGCTGGGTATTTCAAGTCAATACAGTGTGATTCTGATTCAACTGAAATTCTTAGTGTCAACTTCACAAAGATATAGATGTGTCCCARACAATTAAAGATGAATTTACATACACCTCACAGAAGCAGATTAGTGTTACAGTCATTTGTTTGTAGCAAATACATGGAAATATATAGAAATTTGCCAAGATAACTTCCTTTTGTTTTTAGGTCCTCATTTCCTTGTATAAATACTATCAATGCTCTTTTTCCTTTGTTATTTTCCCTAGAATTGAAATGTTACCCACGTTGCAAAGGAATATGTAAAGTTTAGAACTTTTGAAATTAGTTTCTTAGATAACGCCTCTGTGAATGGCAACAGACTGTCCCCAAGAGAAACTTTGTAATAATAGTGGCAGTGTAAGTATTGTCATCACACTTTTTCAGCCCATTAAGTTGTTCAATTTTGCATATAATCTTCAGTATACTTAACAGAGGAGGGAAGTACMTGGGCAAGAAACGGTAAATATAAATCAACAGATAATGATATTCCTCTTCCAGCCACACTTATTTCCAAAAGTATCAAAGTCTTTATGCTTATGCATTTAGAATAATATTCACCTGAGTAGATATGGATGGAAGTAATTACAAGATATAAATTGATAAATTTGAGGTTGAAGAATTTTCCTTATTTWAAAATGCTAATATGTAGAGAAGCAGAAGGATATTTTTTCTTTATTTATTTTTAGATCTTTTTCTCTGCTTGCTTGCCTGCATCCCTTTCTTCTCACATTCTTTGTTTTGGAGGAATGGCAATGTTCTATTTCTCTTACTGTGTGCCTTAATGATGTTATTGACATTTTCATAGAGGTTTCATAACACTATTTTTCCCTTTTTTCTTTTCAACATAATGGAAGAAAACTAGAACTGATTTGCCAAGATACAGAGAGACCCCAAGATTCCACTTGTAGTCTCCAGTAATGTCCTAGTTTGTGGAGGGCAAAGTCTCTAAAGGATCATAGGCTGCTAAAGGAGTTCCCTATTGCAAAGACTGCTGCTTTCTACAAATGCTTTTAGTCATTATTACCKTTTTTTTTTTAATATATATAAAATGCTTACTGCTCCCACCTACTGTAAGAGACATGAACTAATGAGGCTTTGCAAAGAAGTTCAGTCTTACTGACATGGGAGTGATTCTAACTTAACAATATGTCAGATTCAAAGTTATCTTTACTGGCATTTCACAGAGCTGCTGCTGGCAATGTAACGTGGGATGTGGACTCATTAACAGTTCTTCAAAATGTTGTTTAAAATCAAGATAGTGGGTCAAAAAAGCAACCCAAGGAGACAGTTCTTTCCGCTTTTAACTACATCCTTAAGTGACTCTAATGTAGCTACAACTCTCAAAAGCTGCTCTGAATATGGCCCTAAGCATTTTAACAGCCACATACCAAGTCAAAGCTCAATCTCGTATGTTCTGTGCATCCAAACCTCCCACACAACTGCCTATCCAGGAAAGCACAATCATAAGAGCAGAGAAGCTCAAGTACTCCACATTACAGCAGGGAGAGTCAGTATAAAATTCTAAACAAGAACTAAGTTTAGGCCATGTCATATATTCATGGTACACTGCTGTCTTATGATATAGGTATATCACCAGAGCAGTTGGCATGAAGCAGAATTTATTTTCATTATGAGTGAAATTAGATTTGAATCCAAGTCTCTGAAAGTTACAGACATTAACCATAAAAARACCTATAGCCCAAATGGATACAATCCCCCAAAGATTATCTGAGGTTCATTCCCGTCTATTGGTAGCTGAGACATATGATATTATATATGTCACACCGCTATCAATACTATCAATACTTAAAACTGGAATTCAAAGACAATTCTAAAGGCTCAGTTGAATTTCAGAATGATGGAAAGAAGCAGAATTACTTTTTCTAGAGAATAATGAGGACTTCAGGGCTGATCCTGATGTCACTTTGTTATATACTGCCATTTGAGACATTGGAGAAGCTATGTTGCATATGCACTGTTGTAATTCTCCAAATTAGTTATTTAATATTAATTGAAGTGCATGATAATGTGAAAGGATATGATTATGACAGTATGTGGCTTTGTCATGGCAGTTCCTTAAACAGTGGGAAAGCAAGAGAGCTAATGAGGGAGTGGGACTGGATTTTCTGATTCAGCTGTAATTTTTTTTTCCTTTATGAAATGGAAAAGGTAGAAAATTTATCCACAGAATAACATAAACTCATGCAAATATTTGAAAGAAAGGTCATCAGATTTGTATATTGTAAACTTTAAACTACTCTTTAAGTTTTTCTTTTCTTCATCCCCCTACCCACCTGCAATGCAAGCATGCAAAACATGTTGGTTTGGGTATTTTCTCAGAGTATATGGTACTGCTTGAATACCTTTTCCCATGGCRTTAAGCTGCATATGATGGAACAGCTGCTGCAACTTGCTTTGCCAGGACATGTTAAGTATTCTCCACAATGCTAAGAACTGGGTTAAGCAATCTAAGAAGGCACATAGAGGACTGAACCGAGACATGTACAGGGAATGCAAACATGATCCCACTCTCTTTTTTGTACTAGAGAGGTTATGTAAAGCATTGCACCAGCTAGGAAAGGAAGAAGGTGCTCGGTAGGGACAGCCAGCACCCCASCTCTGCACATCCAACATGTGGCAGGAAGGCTTGAACCTCCTGACTCCCCAGATCTGCATCTTCCCTATAGTGTTTCTGCAGTTGGAAAAGGTGGGACTTTATCTTTGGGAAGCCTTTGACTTTCAGAAGACTTGGGCAAGGCCCAGTTGCCTGCCATGGCAGCTCAGGTTTGCAACTGTTGCAATAAAGAGGCAGGTTCCCACCCCTCTCACTGGGACTATTCTATCACTGTTGCTAGTATTAGGTATTTCGGAAGCAATTCATGTTAAAATATAGATGTCACCCTGAGTTCTGCCCAGCAGGATCCTCCACCTTCACTGCCTCCTATCTATGCCTTACTAACTATGCCATACTGCACTAAGGAATACTTTGCCCTTATGGAGACATCATGTACTTTTTTCTTTCTAAGTGTTTCACATCCAGCTGACATGTTCAATAGTGCAATAATATTTATTTTGTCATTAGAGTGCTAAAAAATTACAGTAATTTCCTCATCTTCTGCAAAATCCTGGCACTGATAGCAATATTTTCTATTAGATTTAGAAATAAATTAGTTGTCTCTGAGTGAAGGATATCTCTGACTGATCTTCACTAAAGTAAGATTTACCTGGAGATTTATTGCAGCTTTGCCTTTCTCTTCCCCATGGGAAAGTTCACAAATGATGCAGCAATCTTGTTCTAGTAATACTGTGCTTAAATACACTTCATGGATTACTTGGTATTCAGGAGGCTCTTCCTATGAAAAGAAAAAAAAAAACCCACAGTTTGTAAAAACAGTAAAACCAGGCTGGGATTTTCAAACAATTTGATAGTGAATGTTAAAAGCAAATAAGCAAACAAACAAAACCCCACTAATTTTTCTTTCATCTCATTTAGCCAATAGCCACCCTGAAAGTACCTTCGCTGAAGTAGATGCTTTAATTGCAAAGCAACAGAATRGGGTGAGTGGCATCTCAGTGCATTCCTCAGTTATTTGCATTTCATAGATCAGTAATCTGAGGCATGGTAGTTAAGTAAGTTACCCCAAGTCATAACCAAGTCATAAAGAAGTGAAGAATCCTAATTGCTAGTTATCTGCTTTAAGAGGTGGCTTTTTCTGGTCTCTAGMTGCTGTGGGAAAATGCCGTAGAGGCCATACCTATAGAATATAATGATGTACAGCAAATTGACACTACTTATTGGATGCTTGAGGAGATGTGTCYACACAGACCATGGCCACTAGATGAGAAGCAATTGAACTCTATCAGCGTGCATCAGCACCACCGCTGATAATTGTCCTTATCATTGCCCCTCCTTGCTCAGATGCTTCTTTACCTTCTGGGCTTCACTTCAGAGGAGATCTTAAGTTTCAGTAATGTTATCCAGCGCAGTCTTAGCAGAACAGTCTTAGCATTTCKGCACTGATCCTAAGTTTAAAATACACGTGAAGACTTTCTGTTTTCTGTGGCACTAAGCTGATCATAGCAAAGACAATCTTCAAACAGGGCTCACAGATTGAGTCTCTGGTGATTGTACATATGGTAATGTGACAAGGCAGGAGAATAACTTTAAAATCTGACTAGAGCTGAAGTCAGTGGACCTAGTTTTGAATTTTAAGTCTTAAGTAAGTGTTGAAATATTTGGTCCAAAGAACGGAGTCAAGTTGTAAGTGAAATAACTTTTGAGGGGGATGTTCAGCAGCAAACTCAATGCCCTCCTCATCTCTGTCCTTTCCAGAGCCAATGAATCCAAACAAATGAAATCTACTGGCTTCAGTTTCTCGAAGATTTCCAAATAAAACTAACTGTGCATCGCTTTAATCCAGTTTAATCGCACCTCCTTGTTTCTGTTTCATTTATTAGTCACTTTTCTTTTCTTTTCTTTTCTTTTCTTTTCTTTTCTTTTCTTTTCTTTTCTTTTCTTTTCT